AGAATAAATATTATATCATATATATCTTTAAGTTGGAAGCAAATCTCTAGGCTTTCCGGGTGAGCAGGTACATTTTCAGAAATAGCCATCACAATCTCAAAGATAAAACTCACATGCACCTGAATATTGGCATCTCAGAGCTTATGTTCCCACTAGGCATAGGGGTTTTTTTCTCAACAAATAAATTTTGATTCCATGGTAATCTGAAAATTCTGGATTTAGTTAGGGACACCTCACATTTGAACCATGGGCTCCTATGGAAATTACATCTCAAAGTTAGTCCTAATGTCATGACAGCAGCTGGCACCTGGGTTCTATAATGATGTCTACCCACTAAGGCCTGGGACTGAGGCCAACAATTAATTTCACATACAAAAAAAAAAAATCACTGGAAAAGCTTCCCATTGCCTTTATTTTTTAAGAAAGAAGAACTGTTACAGAGAAAACAAAAATGTATTATAATCAAGAAGCTTAGACATTATCTACCCAGAACTGAATTAAATTGAATTAACTATCTATCATACTTACAAATGATAGATAATGCTTTATGAACCTAGAGGCATTTACAACTGTCCTGTTGCTCAGGAAGGTACTTAAAAAGCAGGGAAACAATCTGAGAAAGATTTCTAGCCATCTGTGATATATCCTTAAATATAAGTGTACATACATACATGTGCATGCATACATCTGTCCACAGAACACACACACACATACACACACACACTCACTCGTACACATGCTTGGGTGAACTATCTCTGTCTCTCTCTTTTTTAAAAAATTGAGACTTTATTTATTCATTTATTTTACTTTTATTTTTTTGGCCACAGAGAATGGCATGTGGGATCTTAGTTCTCGAATCCCCTGCAATGAAAGCAGTCTTAACCACTGCACCACCAAGGAAGTCCCTCCCCGCCCCCCAGCCCCTATATATATATATACACATACACATACACATATGCATATGTATTTGAAGGGATTATCTAACACATATATATTTATGATCTATGATATATATGTGTACACATATATTTATATGCATATATATCATAGATGGTCCTCTCTAAACAGATATACACTAAAATGTTATACATACACATGAACAGGTCTCTCCATAGGCTAACAGCATCACATTTCAGGCGCCGCTATCACAACATCGGGTTCCCAGATTCCTCTTCCACTCTGATGCACATCCGAGGGTAATGCTAGTGCTCTTTATCTGACTTAGCTTCACGTTTCCACTGCATCTCAATTCCATTTGTTACTTAATCTGCAGTCAGTCAGACTGCACTGAAGCTCAAGGTATGGGGCTACTGGGAGGTATGTGTGGGCACCCATCATGGTCATGAATTGACACAGTTTACATTTCGCTTAGCAAAGATAGAGACCTCAATGCAAACAACGTATCAGACTGAATTTGGGTCCCCCTTACAAGATCATAATAAACAACTGTTTAACAGTACTTAAAAAAAAAAACTTTTGACAAGAAACTTGAAACAAAGGACTAATTCCATGCAAATGAATCTCAGATGCAGGAGCAGTAACAAACCCCGCGACTCAGCCTTTTCCGCACAGGCTATGTAGCATCTGCTGACCTTTCACTTGAAACCCAGAGTTTCACTTAATCCTCTGAGCAGTGGATCAAAAGCCAGACCTCAGATTAAGTAATGGCTGAATACTATTTTAAAATAGAAGGGGTGGATTCCCAAAATAGGAATTTTCCATCTATCTGGAAACAAAAAGGTCCCTGTAGATTTCCTCTATTGGCAAGGGAGAAATGAGCCTATCCTGGGGTTAAAATTGCGAGTGAGCTTTCATTCTGCCTCCATTGTAATTTTTTCTAGTATGCCACTGAAGTAGAAATTTTGAAAACTTACATAATGACTTAGTTGTGGAGTAAGAAGAAAAAAGAAAACATATCTTCATTCAAACAGAATCAGCTGGCTGTCATTTAATTAAATTCTATTAATGAATTTAAGCTAAGCTTAACCCTGGGCTAAGACTCTCAAATCTGAACTAGAAGTTACAGACTCACATTCTTGCCCTACTATGTAAGGCGCACACATTTACATCTATAATATTCAACTCGAAAAGATAACTAATGTTACAAAATCACCATTGCCCTGGAGTATCTCAGAGGATGTGGAGTAATTAAAAAGGCAAGAGTGGGCAGGAAACATTTTCCTGCCTTTAGGTCATTAATTATGAATGTCACTTTCTCAAGCTAATTTTCATAAAAGCCTCTTTTGAACCAAATGGCTATTCCTGCCTAACATGTTCATTTCTTTCCCTCCCCTTTAACAGAAACCTTCCCTGGTGCTTTACTGAATTTTTAATTTTTTTCTTTGTCTTTTTTTGGTCTCAATTAAAATCAGTATTTGGCTTCTTGCAAACAATGCTAACCACTTCTAGAACCCCTTTATCCTCATCCAACGAAGGGTAGATTTTTCTAGCTGAGACTTTTCTTGCCCTTAAGTCCATCTCCTGGAATTTTCTTAATGACACTGCCCTTCTCAGGATTTCCTGATAATCTTTCCAAGTGAGCTTTCAAGGCAGGTCATGTCCAAGCTTCAACTCTAAAAAGTTCATATTTCTGAACCCAAAGATCAAACAGAGTACCAGAATTGATAACAGCAGATATTCCACAAAAGAATCAAAACAGAGTAAAAGGAGCTCCCCCCCACCCCCACCATGCAATATCCTACCTGGAATGCAGATGGAGCATCCGTTTCAAAAACTTCTTGGGGAGCTCCAGGTTGCAGGGTGGTGATGAACAGTAAGAGATGCTCTGGACCCTTCAACCTCACTTGCAAGTTTAGTGTAGACATAGCCTTGAAGACTCTGCTTTTTCTTGCTCGTGTTATTTTTTTAAAAGATAGATTCTACTGTTGGTCGACTGCCTACCCTTTTTATCGATCACCTGTCCTCAAATTCTATTATCTGCCCTATGTTTGCAGGTCCCTGATCCGACTACCCAGCCCAGATCTCTTCATCCTGTGGAATCTTAACTGTCGGTTATCTCTGCAGCATCTTCTATGTGGCAGCTCATCGGTAATTCAAGTGTAACTTGACCAAGATTGTTGTCTAAAACTTAGCAGGACTTTCCCCTGGGTGGCTTAGTCTTGTCATCTGACCCTTGCCTTCCAGTATCTTTCTCTAACTCCACTCTCATTGATTTGCCCCTTCTGGCCGCAAGACTCTCTTTTTCTTTTTTAAAAAATATTTATTTGGCTGCACCAGGTCTTAGTTGTGGCACATGGGATCTTTAGCTGCAGCGTGCAAACTTTGAGTTGCGGCATGTGGGATCCAGCTCTCTGACCAGGGATTGAGCCCAGAGCCCCCTCCATTGGGAGTGCAGAGTCTTAACCACTGGACTACCAGGGAAGTCCCTGAAGAGCCTCTGGTTCAATCCTATTGAAGGTGCATTTTCATGGAAGACATGGAACATTCTTAAGTAACTTGTCTTTCTTTCTGAACCTACAGAGAAGAGAGGGGCCCCACTTTCCTGAGTGTTTAGGATCACATTAGCACCCGAGGGATAAAAGTCAGAGCAATGCCCCATTAAATTGGCAGGCTGAAATGACCATTCAATCCTTTGGCTTTATTAGGTGTGTTACTGCCCATTTACACTGAAGAGAAAAGGCACTGGACTCTGCAGAAGGCATGAGACAACACGTGCCTCACACTCTTCATTTGACGTTTACCACTGCAATTTATGGGGCTCCCCAAGTGGCACGAGTGGTAAAGAACCCACCTGCCAGTGCAGGAGATGGAGGAGTCGTAAAAGATGTGGGTTTCACCCCTGGGTTGGGAAGATTCCCTGAAGAAGGGCAAGGCAACCCACTCCAGTATTCTTGCCTGGAGAATCCCATGGACAGAGGAGCCTGGCAGGCTATGATCGCTGCAGTTGCAAAGAGTCAGACATGACTGAAGTGACTTAGCATCCACGCAGGCACTATAACTGAAGCTACCAAGTAGTATCCTACTGCACAGTGCAACTTGACTTCCCCTCAGCTTTACTGAGACATAAGTGACATATAACACTTAGGCAAGGTAGCATGTATAGCGGAATGATTTGATATAAGTAGATATTACAAAATGATCACCACAATTGGTTTGGTTAATGTCTGTCACTTCACATAGTTACACATTCTTTTCCTTTGTGATGAGACTTTAAGATCTACTCTCTTAGTAAGGATATAATATACTATTGTTAACTCTAGTCACCATGCTGTACATTACACTCCCAGCACTTAGTATATCTTATAATTGGAGCTTTGTACCTTTGGGCCACCTTCCCCCATTCCCCCTAACCCCTAACCCCTAACACAATGGAACTTTTTTCCTGTTAATTATTTATTTATCTGGCTGCACCGAGTCTTCACTGCAGCACACAGGACCTTCGATCTCCACTGCAGCATGCAAACTCTTAGGTGTGGCATGTGGAATCTAGTTCTCTGACCAGGGATGGAGCCCAGGCCCCCTGCACTGGGAGCATGGAGTCTTAGCCACTGGACCACCAGGGAGGTCCCTACAATGCAACTTTAAACAGACATGGTTTAAATCCCTTGGCTATTATATTCCCCAAAAGGCAGTACCCACCCTCAAAACCAAGGAAGCCAAGGGCCCTGACATCTCTAGAAGGAGCTCGGCAGGACCAAAGTTGGCAGAATGTGGACAAACTTTGGACATTATGGCCTTTAATGGTGCAAAATATGCCCATTTTTACTGAAATTGGGAGAGAAGTCCTTTGAAGACATTGTGATATTCTAGGAAGGTTCTGAGGAAGTGGATGGAACAGGTTTTCTGAGTGTGAAACTAGACAGATCAAGAGTGGGTTGGCAAACTAAAAAAATAAGGAAAATAAGTAAATGATCAACTGATAGAAACCTCATTCTTACATCCTGAGTAGTGAATTCACTTTGAACTTGTCATGAGAACTGAATTCATTTAATTTTTTTTCCATAACTGCATAAACTATTTATTAACACAAGGCCCAAACATTATTTCTTCTTGGACACACCCACAGTGCAACCACGGCGGCCTGTGGTCTTGGCATGCTGGCCTCGGACACGCAGCCCCCTGTGGGCCCGAATCTTCTTCAGTCGTTCCAGGCCTTCACGGAGTTTGCTGTCTAGACCGCTGGCCAGGACCTGGCTGTATTTTCCGTCCTTCACGTCCTTCTGTCTATTTAAGAACCAGTCTGGGTTCTTGTATTGGTGTGGAGTCTGCATAATGGTGATCACATGTTCCACCTCATCCTCGGTGAGCTCTCCTGCCCTCTTGGTGAGGTCGCTGTCTGCTTTCCTCAACACCACATGAGCATATCTTCGCCCCACACCCTTAATTGCAGTGAAGGCAAAGGCAATTTTCCAGTGCCCATCAATGTTGATGTTGAGTACACGCAAGATGTGCTGGAACTTCTCAGGGATTACTAGAGACAGGGTGGCGGCCCCAGCAGCGGCGTGTAGGCCTCCAGTGGAAGCCTGAATTCACTTTATATTCTCTATATCCTTATGGAAATCTTTAAGTGCAGTCAGGATCTTAGAATTCATTTTTTCCAAGACTCTTGTTTTACAGGCAAGGAAAAAAGCAAACAAACACACTGGGAAACTCCCTTGCCAGAACCACAAAGCCAGGTGGGAACAGCAGTGAGATCAGAATTCAGGGAATCTGTCTCCTTCTTAAGATCTGTCCATGTCCTGGTAACCACCTCCTTTTCCTCTCTCACTTATGACATTGCTACTCTTTCCAATTCAAGTTTGAAATCATCAAGCTCATGTAGTTGAATCTTCTGTTATTGTTCAGTCACTCAATCATGTCCAACTCTCTGCAACCCAGCTTCCCTGACCTTCACTATCTCCTGGAGTTTGCTCAAACTCATGTCTACTGAGGCAACGATGCCATCCAACCATCTCATCCTCTGTCGCCCCCTTCTCCTCCTGTCTTCAGTCTTTCCCAGCATCACGGTCTTAGTGTTTTGCGTTGTTCTTTCTTTCATCTTGTTTGTTTTTATATCTGGCAAAGTTCCCGATTAAGGAGACAGGTGGTTGGGCAAACACAGATATCTGGTGTGGCTTGGAAAGAGCGCTGTGATGCCTTTTAGTTTATTCTGAGGTCTTACCTGAGGATCTACAGGTTACAGGGGTGCTGTTATTGTTATTGTTTTATTTCTTGGTTCCTGAACTCCTGACACCATTTTCTGTCCTCCACATGTACCCCTGCCACTGCCACCCTGGGATTTCCTTGCTCAAACACAATTTGAGAAGATGGGTCTTTTCATTACTTTGATCATGTTACACACAATAATTCTGCATTGATTTAATCATCTTGGTTTCCTGATCCCAACCTGAAAACATCTCTTCAATGCGTGACTAACTCTCCCGATTTTTCTCACCAAGGCTCCCCTTACTTCTCCTTCAACATTATTATTACTGAGCCCAGGAGGGTCACATAGAACATCAATCTCCCCTTTTTACCCCAGATGGGAGGTTGAGCTTCCCGCTGAATCTCCATCACCTACTAAATAATTTTTCATTTCATTCAGTCACCCGAATTCTTTATCACAATGTTTCTCCTTTTGCATTCAATTGACATTCTCATTTTTAGGGTCAAGGTGAACGAAGCATTTATTCTTTGCTTGTGAATGATCTATTCAAAGTCATACTCCTTCCCAAAGTTTCTCTTCCTATTCTTTACCATTGTTAACTTTCTGTGGTTAATCTGCATCAAGTTTTTGGTTTGCTGGTGATGTTGACCATTTGGGTCAACATTCGCTTGCTTCACCACCTCCAGCATATATAAGATGAACATATTCTCAACCTCCACAGACAGGCACATAGCTTCTAAGCCATCCCTATAGGAACAGGAATGGTATATAGATATGCTGGGGGCTGGGACATGACCTCAGTTCAGATGAGGTCATGGGTATACAGGGCTGGGCTAGATGTGGCGAGTTGGGCGGCTTCCTGATCCACCTTCTCACTGTTCTATGTTGGTGGACAGCCCAGCTCCTGGGTGTGGTGTTCCACCTGCAGAAGATCCTTTTAACATGTGGTGGTGCTCCAGGTAGTAACATGCTAACATGAGGTCCCTAACAGCACCAAAGTGTTAACTGACCATGCCCCGCTTTAAGCCACCACTGAAAACATGTCTGTGTTTCTACTAGAGTGTTCCTAACACTTGTAATCGCATCTGTTTCCCCATCCACATTCAAGCCCGGTAAATGTCTGATTCATATTTGGATCCTCACAGCTGGGGCTTACCAAGCGCTTAAAGAATAAGACTTCTACGTTCCTGAAATGGCTCCCTCACTCTCAACCCTGGACCTAAATGCCCAATTTTCCTTTGATAATATTGACTTTAAGAGTAAATACACAGCATGACAAACTATTAGGGAAATCAGAACCATGCAGGGATTACATTTTCCACAGGTGAAACGTACTTTAGAAGATTTATACTATATACCAAGTATGATTAGAGGATATTTGAAGCATGTTGCAAGTTGAGCAGCTGACTTGGGAAGGGGAGGTAAGAAGGCCTGTAAACCAAAGCAGTAATCCCTCTCTCTACCTCTGGTAAATGGGCCAACCAACCACAGGCATATGGGTCAGCACTGAGAGATCCACACCTATGCCTGGAGTCTTGTGTGATCCATCGGTCCTGAATCCCTACTGTAGCCCTTCAACTGCTCCATTGAGACCGAACGCTTAGAGAAAAGCCAGACTAGAGAAATGGCAACAAAAAGCTTAGGCGAGGTGGTAAGGAAGGGAAAAGCCAGGAATTAGGCTGCTTGGTCAAGGGGAAAATCCAAAACAAATGTCAACATCTGGACTTTGTTTAGACTGTGGGCAACTAGTATTTGTTTAAGAAAAGTGAGTTTTCGCACTCACTGTCTGCCCCAGCTCCCCCTCCCCCATCACCAAAGTGGCATTTTGTGTCCTGTCTTCCATCTACCATTCCAGGAACTTGATCTACCCAGCTGCACTCTTTAGATGCTGGAGGCTGCTCTTTTATCCCCAGGTCAGCATTTGATCTTCTAGGTGTGATGTGAATGTTTGCTGAATAAACAAAGGTTGACTAGGTGCCATGAGAAATAGCAAACACTTCAAGAGCACTTCCTAACTTGCCAAATTTATAAATATTAACTCATTTAATCCTCCATAACACAGACACTGCTCTTTTCCTCCATTTATGGATGAAGAAGTGAAGCAGACAGGTTAAAGCACCAGCTCTTGGTCACATAACCCAAGCAGTCTGGTTCTGGAGTCTATGTTCCTTTGTTGCTTCTTGTTTTACATATTTTACATAAAAATGATGATTCTTTTTTTTAATGAAATAGTAATTGCTTATTAGATGAAAAAGGATGTCAGTCAACACCAGGCAAATTGTATTCTCTGACCACAAAACACATAAATTGAAAAATAACAATAAAAATCACATTAAATCTTCCATCATGGTGGGGTATTAGGAAAAGTTTTCAATTAGGAATAATTGCACCTCAGATAAACCTCATCAGCTACGATACTGCCACTGAGCAAAGCTATAAATGATGATTCTTTAAAACAAAATGATTCCCTTTCTCCCCCTGCACCAAATAAAGGTGCCACTGTGGATGATGAAGAAAACTACTCAAATACTAAATAAAAGTAATAGGGCTTTATAGAATTTCTATGATAATATCTGAAAAATACATTGATGACAGCCTTGAAGTAGCTCAATTATCTTCTCTGCTCCTTGGAAGAACCTGTAGACTTGCTGTTTATACTTTTTAAAAATTATATTTTACTTTTTTCTTTTTAGTGTCAAGACTCTACATTTTGAAATGCTATTTAAAATGTTGAAATATTTGTATTATTTGCCTTATCATTAATTTGCATACAAAACATATCATAAATATAGCTTTGAAATATTTAGGATACTTAATAGCATGAGCTATCAAACAGTTTACATTTAATGTCATATTTTGGGGAGAATCATACAAACATATTCATTTCTTTTGTCTAATTACAGAAATTTTAAGTACATTCATTATTTTCCTAGAAAATTTATTTTTCCTAAGCATAAAGAAATAAACTATCTCTTGATCACCATCTAAAATGTAATTGAAAAATAATATCTCCATATTTCAAAAAAGTTTTAAATAGTGTGATGATGCTTAAGCTTTCCCGACCAAGATCTACAGTAAGAAATATATATTATATTATAATCCAGCACCAACATAGGTGTACATATCTATATGTGTATAAAAAAATGTGTTTTGTGAAATGTTTAACCTCATAGCATATGACACATTGGTGTTTCTAGTTTATTCCACTTAATTTTTTTTTGATAGTGGATTTTGGGCTTCTCTGGTGGCTGAGACAGTAAGGAATCTGCCTATAATGCAGGAGACCCAGGTTTGATTCCTGGGTCAGGAAGATCCCCTGGAGAAGGAAATGGCAACCCACTCCAGTACTCTTGTCTGGGAAATCCCAGGGACAGAGGAGCCTGGCGGGCTACAGTCCATGGGGTCACAAAGAGTCAACACGACTGAGGTACTAAGACTTTGAATCACTAAGTCGATTTTCTGATCCACTGATCGGTCATTAACAGCTCATAAGCTGCAGTTTTTTGAGACTAAAGAAGAGGATTCTGGAGTTCGCTAACTTTCTCCCTTCGATCCTGGTAACAGCAGGTGACTTAAGAGAAGTTTCCTGGACATAAGGAGGGCAGGAGTCCATAAGACATTGTCGCCTCAGGCAGCCAGGAAAGGCACCAAGTCACTGTGGTGTGTACTTACCCCATTTTCTAAGGACAGTGGCCTCCTGATTAATTACTTTGCAAATTACTCATTAAAACTTGGCTTTGCAAAGTTAGCCCTTGGTCCAGTTATTGCTGCCAGATTTCCTGTTTACACTGAGCTCAGTGTATTAGGTTATTGTCCCCACTGGGAAGTGCTTTAGACAAGGAAAAAGAATGAATCAAAGCAAGAAACCAGACTCCCAGCATCATTTTATGGCACACCCTGACAAAGAATGAGTGAACAATAAAGAACTATAGGGAAGTCTTGAAGACTGCTGCAGACATGAGCTGACTGAGATATTTCTATAGCAAATGGTCCAAAGGTTGATAGAGTGTGATGAATCTGTATTCCTTTCTCCTGGCAGTCACTGACAGCAGGGCCCACCAGTAACTTCAACTATCACTTAAAGAGGTTTCACAATTTTCTGTATTTTCTAATTTCCTACATCCC